AGCTCCAACAATTCCTCGGATTTGCCAACTTCTACCGTCGCTTCATTCTAAACTACAGCAGGATCACCAGCCCCCTCACCAACCTACTCCGAGGAAAACCCAAGTCTCTGTCCTGGACACCCGTGTCCTTAGAAGCTTTCGCCACCCTCAAGAGAGCCTTCACTAACGCCTCACTCCTAGTCCATCCAGATCCTGACCTCCCATTCGTCGTGGAAGCCGACGCCTCCACTACTGGAGTGGGGGCAGTGTTATCCCAGCAGCAGGAGAACCCAGCCCGACTCCACCCATGTGCCTTCTTCTCGAGGAAGCTCAGCCTGGCGGAAGTTAATCATGACATCGGCAACAGGGAACTACTGGCCATCAAGCTGGCTTTAGAGGAGTGGAGGCATTGGCTGGAAGGGGCAGCCCATCCATTCACCGTGCTGACCGACCAGAAGAACCTCCAGTATCTTCGTGAGGCTAGACGTCTAAATCCCCACCAAGCACGATGGGCGTTATTCTTTACCAGGTTCAACTTTACCATTTCATATTGCCCAGGACCCAAAAACATCAAGGCAGATGCCTTGTCACGCATTCATAGTCCTGTGGAAGGCCCAGAAGAAACGGAAGGTATCATCCCACCAAGTATGATCGTCAGTCCGATTGAATGGAGTGCCCCTTCAGTGGCCTCAAACACGGCCCCCAGGCAAACTCTTCCCTCTACCCATGCCGAATCGCCCCTGGTAACACCTAGGAGTAGACTTTGTCACGGACCTGCCACCCTCTGAAGGTAACACATGCATCCTGGTAATAGTTGATCGTTTCTCAAAGTCATGTCGCCTTCTGCCCCTCAGAGGTCTCCCCACTGCACTGGAAACGGCGGAGCTTCTCTTTAACAAGGTGTAGCATTTGGACCAATCAGACACACAACTTTTTGTTATATTTAACAAATAATATCGAACTCCCCATCACCTAACCAAATGGCCAATTACGAGGGTCTATGGACCCTTCCCCCGAAATGCACCTAACACCTCAGAAAAGCAGAACAGGCCTCTGGTTCCATGGTAACCAATGCTGATATCACTGGTTTTATGGCCTAAAAGGAATGCAGGGGATAAACTCCCTCATTTTCCTCATAAGAAAGGCACAAATGCACAGGAGAAGACCGGGGACCTCAGTTTATTTCAAAGGTATGGCACGCTTTTTTAAGACTCCTAGGTGTGACCGTAAGCCTCTCGTCTGGATACCATCCAGAGTCGAATGGTCAAACGGAGAGGAAGATTCAAGAGGTGGGGCGATTCCTACGAACCTTCTGCCATGGCCACCAGGATTCCTGGAACCAATTCCTGGGCTGGGCCAAGTACGCCCAGAATTCCCTGCGACAGCCTTCTACTGGTCTCACTCCCTTCCAGTGTGTGCTCGGGTTCCAGCCTCTACTGTTCCCCTGGTCTGGGGAACCTTCTGATGTTCCGGCGGTTGACTACTGGTTCCGGGAAAGCGAGAGGGTCTGGGACACTGCTCACCACCATCTCCAATGGGCAGTGCGCAGGCAGAAGACGGCCGCGGACCTTCGAAGAGCCAAAACACCTCTTATCAGCCAGGTCAGAAGGTATGGCTGTCAACTCGGGACATCAGACTGCGCCTGCCCTGTAGGAAGCATAGTCCCAGATTTGTTGGCCCCTTCACCATCCTGGAACAAGTAAACCCGGTCACCTTCAAACTCCAACTCCCCTCACAGTATCGAGTTCATCCCACATTCCACGTTTCTCTTCTGAAACCTCACCATGACCCTGTCTCTCTCCCCACAGAGCCTAGCCAGACGGAGGAACCCCCTCTTCCCTTGATCCTGGATGAGGGATCAGTCTACCAAGTGAAGGAAATTCTGCAGTCCCGGCGCCGTGGTGGTCAGCTGGAATACCTCGTAGACTGGGAAGGATATGGACCCGAGGAACGTTCATGGGTACCTAGGACCGATATATTGAATATATACTAACCTGTTGCGTCAGACCGCTTCCGTTACAACTAGTGGGTACTCGCCTGTGCATTTATTTTTGTTCTGGAGGCTGATGATCCCTGATGATCTGTTTGTTTATTCCATGTTCCACACTGTAATCACTGTACTTTATATATATATATATATATATATATATATATATATATATATATGTATGTGTGTGTGTGTGGGTATGTGTGTATGTATATATATATATATACAATAAAGTACAGTGATTACAATGTGGAACATGGAATAAACAAACTTATGTAAAGTGTATTACTTATGACTATTGTCATGTCAATATTGTAAACATTGTGATTATTATAAAAGAGCACATGAATCTAATATTCACTGACACAAAAATAAGATATAACTGAAGACATGTCAATTGTAAGGGAAACAGGTCAATAATTTAGCTCAAAGGGAATCATTTAAAAAGGGAACTCCACCATTAATATGTAAGGGCATTTGGACAGAATCACTGTTTTACGGCTGATCACTGAGATGGCCAGCGATTCAGTGAACGAGCCGTATGACATCAATTCTGCAATGGATATCTATATCCAAAATATAGTGAAAACACTATTAATTAGCATAGTACCAAGATCGGCAGTTTAAGACATTAACTTGTGAGCACAAAACACAAGATACTTCTCTTTTCAATATAAATAAGGCTTTATTGGATAAATCTAAGACATATAAACTAATCTAACACATGAACACACGCATTCACACAAGTTTGCAGAAAGAGAGAAAGTGAGGAAATAATTAGTTTAAGAGAATGAAAATGTGAAATCCCAAGTTTACAGCAATATGTGCAATTGCATAGATCTGAACAACCATCAATCACTTAATTAACCCTCGCATTGAGTTTCTCAAT